TCACTCTTACCAAGTGATTTAAATTAGGCAACTGTTTATCTATATGAACCACAACCATTTAAGATAGTGTATTGAGTGTTTATCTCTAAATCAACTTAAGTAGAAATTTTGATATGTAATATATATTTAAAAGTTAACACAAAAAGCATATATAGTAACCAAAATAATATGTAAACCATTTTAAAGAGAACAAAATATAGTAAAAATAAAAAAAAAAAACATTAGAAATGATAAACTGCACACCTGTAATCCCAGCATTTGGGAGGCTGTAAACAGGAGAATCACTATGAGTCTGATCTAGTTGTGAGACCCTGAACACTCTGTAAACCCTTCCCTAAAATACAGGAAACAAACAGGTGCAAGAGTTTCCACTATGCTGTGCCCACCATACCCCTCCAGATCTAGCCCAGGCCCAGCATGTGAGTGAGACCTTCTGCCTTGTTCTCTGGACCCCTCTAGACCCAGCCCAGGCCTGGCATACAGGCATGGTGTAAAACTCTCCAGCTAAAGTCCCTGCAGAGAGGCTAGGGGCCAGAACCACCAAGCTAATCCAGGAGCAGAACATCTTACCAGAGGGGCACAGTGGGTTCACTTCCATGGACCTCAGCAGGAAGAAGCTGGGCAAAGAAGCCAGACCCAAGCCAGTTCAAACTTGGTAGATCTGTACCCAGTAAGCTGAAACACTTTGCTAGACCCAGATCTATGAGAACATCCTCCCTCTTTCTCTCTTGCCCAAGAGAGGGGGAAAAAGGTAACCGTGGTGAACTAATCTGCCTGGAAAACTCCAGGCACATCAAAGGGAGGTGATCAGACAGAACTTAGGGGGGCTAACTGAAATACAAATTTCCAATTTAATATCTGCTTAGCTATACAGACATATGTTTGCTCTTACTGTCTAAAATACAAACTCATTAATTACAAAAGTTTGTCAACTGCTAAATATCGCTACCCATTATTAGTGCTCCTAATTGTAGTTCTGTAAATACAAAACTATAACTACCTTAACCATATAATCTCTCTTGGGTAAGAATTTCGGTAGGTGTTAGATTACAACTGCACCAAAAACTCTACACAAAGGTCAGAAGACAGTGCTACACAAAATGACAAAGAGAAGGATCAAAATGCAATCTCAGGCCCCAAGACCACCCAAAACAAAGGCAGGAAGCATAACGTAGAAGCAACTAGTATAGAAGAAACTGGGAATCACACAGCTGAAATCTCTGAATTAATGTTATCCGAAGTAAAGAAACAACTGCAGAAACTTATAGAGGAAATCAGATCACAAATAATCTCTGAAATAAAAAAAAAATCTCTGAATTAATAGCATCTGAAGTAAAGAAACAACTGCAGAAACATATAGAGGAAAACAGGTCAGAAATAATCTCTGATGTAAAAAAAAGAAAGGATAACAATAATGAAAGAATTTAAAACTGCTTCTAAAGAAGACACTGATAAAAATAGAGGAGAATAGAAAAATGATGAATCCTTGAATAACCAACA